CCATTCCAGCATACGTATAATGTTCTTGAGATAAATCGTAAACAGTCTCATGGTTACGATATCATCTACTACGGTGCAGTTATTTTTCTCTAACACCCCACAATGCCACAATAGACGTTCCTACTTGACGGCTCCTATTATTGTATTCACTTATCAGGGGATGTATCTTGTTGGATGTACTTTTATTTGTAATCTACACCGCCTAAACTAAAGATAAAACTGTTAATGTTGTGGAAAGTTAGATTGTGACTAAAGTGACTCGCATGGGGTCTTTAAAAAAGCGTTTTTGTAATGTATACCCTCATTAATTTTATCCCTTTAATTTTGGAAACGCTTGGAGACGAGGAAGAGTGTGTGGATCACTGTATAAAAGTCCCAAATGCGAATCGATATAACAAAAAGAAGGAACAAACTGTAATGACAAATAGTTTGTTTCATGTCATCATCATCATAAGGTCGTCAGATTGGACACGCATCTCCACTCCTTCCTACCCTGAGCTAATCTTCGCTTTTCCCTAAAACTATAACATCCCACATCCTTAACTATTTGCGAACAATAATCTAATCTATGTCTACCTCTACCCCTCCTAACTCCTGTTTCCGCATCTAATATGTCTCTGACTAGACCTTCATGCCTGAGAAGGTGTCCTACCAACCTATCTCGCCTATTTTTTATTGACTTCCATAAAGTCCTCTGTTCTCCTACTCTTTCTAATACCTCTTCATGTCTAACCTTCTCTATCCACGATATTCTCATCATTCGAAAGTAACACCACATTCCGAACGCTTCTAACCTTTTCTTTTCATCTCGCTCATCGTGCATGTTTCGCACCCGTCCAGCGCCGCGCTCCAAACATACACCTTTAACAATCTTTTCGAATTTCTAAATTAATCGTTAATGAGCATAGAAGTGACCCTACTACTCCTTCCGTCCTGACTTGTCTGACTTCCTAGATACCTAGAATCAGCCACTTATTCTAATCTTCCGTCTCCTATCTTTATATTTAAATTCGCTCTTTCCCTAGTTTTTCTTCTGTTACACACCAGTATTTTTGTTTTACATTTATTTATTTTCATACAATACTGTTTTGCCAATACCGCTTCCATTTTATTTAGAGCTATCTCTAATCTATTCTAAATAATACAAATTCTCTTTTAATATTAAATTAAACTAATTATATTCCTAAATATCTAAATACATATATAAAATTAGTTGCTACATACAACACCTAGAAATGAAAAGGTATTAGAAATAATAGGAAAATTGAGGACTAATATGGAAGTCTATAAGAAATAGGTGAAGGAATGGAATAATGTAAAACTAATAATACGTATTTAGTAACAAAATTGATTTGTGAAACTATTGAAATACATTTTAGGACTGACGACCTTATAATGATGATGATATACCTAAGACTAGACTTACCTAGACTTACTCACATTATCTCTGAATTACTATTAAGTACTGACTATTACAGATAAAATAATGAAAAATCTTTTGAAAATTAGGTTGAAAGGCTAGTACCCCTTTTCATGACATGGAATTTAGGACCATGCGTAATAACCTCATAACGCGAATAGTTTCTAAATAAGGACGAAAACCCTTGGACGGGAGAACGGACGGCCCTTGTGCGGTCACTGGAAATAACATAATTCAAGAGTGGTCTTCATATTTTATTGCTTTCACCAAACACATAAACTTTAAGGCATTTTTGTTTATTATTCTCTTCATTGGCAGATGTATGTGTATAACAGATTCCTTTAAATTGATAGTACGATTAATAACTAAACCAAACTGATATTAAACTATTGAACAATTTTGTTCGATGGAATAAACAAATGTAAAACGAATAAAACGTATTTCGCCAGATGGGGAGAGTATCTTCAGGAGTACCAAAAATCATTTGTGAAACTATTGAAANTTACATAACCATATTTCAACAACTTGAAAAAAAATGTTTTTATTTAAGAGCAAAGTATTCACATAAAAAGTCTTCACACAAGCGGGCAAAATTACAGCAATTTAAATTGCGGCCGGACCTTGAGAACAATTTGCAGTATTGAATTAATTTTGATGTACATATTTATGTATATAAATTCTAATTGTCAAGAACGTATTCTTTTTTTAAAATCTTGTTACAGATTAAACGCATTACATCACTGCTTAAATTAACAGATTGTTTCTAATTTAAACTAAGGTTAATCTTTACAAAAAATTTATATTACAATGATTTAAGATTGTTATCTTCATTTTAGGTACACATTTTTCAGTAGCGTGTGGAAATGATATGTAGATGTATGTTTTAGTAAAATCGATTCGTAGCATTTAGGGCAAAAAAATCAAACTATAGTACATAATAACTCTTAAAAATTAAGAATAGTATCTACAATGTGCCTTGGATAGTTGAAATTATCGTAATAACTTGTTTAGGGACTTAAATTGTGGCCTTTATTAGTTAGTTAGTTTTTTTTTCAATTGGATACTAATTTTTGGTGTTAACCGTCTAAATGAAAATTGTTCTCTTTTTATTCAAATTGCTTATAGTTGTAGTTTTATGATTGCAAAAGGATAAAATTAAAATATTTCATGAGTTATTCAAAACTATATTTTAGGATTATACTTTGTTGTGCAAAATCTAGAGAGAAATGTTTTGATATTAAACTGTTATCGAGTTTACATGTAAGGAAACGGAGTAATGAACTTTTTCGGATATATCTAATAACAGTATAAAATCCCCGATTTTCTAATTTAATTCGTAGTCTGAGACATTGAAAAATTAATCCCAGATTTATGATCAGTAACCAAAGAAACTGTAAACATACATCTCGAGCATATACTCGAAGTCTTAATTCTAACTTTCAATTTTGTAAAATTGACTACAAAATCGTAATCAGCGAGGCCTAGAGCCCCTATATGCTATTTAACTACTCAATTTTAATTGAGACATTAATTGATAATGTTTATCGATGCTGTGTTTTCTTCCGGATTTTTTGGCCGTGGTCCGTGGAATCTTGCTTATCCAGACGTTTCGCCGTTCTTTGCTGACGGCATCTTCAGTGGTGACTGAACAGATTCTGGGTCAGAACTGATCATCAGTTACGACTCAGCACCTACTCAAAAAACCACGAAGAAAACACAACATCGATAGACGCCGGCCGGGAAAGCCTAAGAACCCATCTAGAAATGTCAAACAAAAAACCAAAGATCCATCCTCAAACTAAAACTTACAGAAGATTAAAATCTTATACTTTTGGCACACATTTGAAGTTAAATTTTCAGAAGCAGAAAAGAGGCAGACATTGGAGTCACTCTGTCAACTTTCCCTTTTTGCAATGAAAATAAATAATGAAATTTATTTCTTTTGAAATAGATGTGGACAAATTTATTCTACGACTCCCGAAATTCATCAAAACGTTGTACCATTTTGGTACGGAATACTAAAATACAGGGTGTAACAAAATTAGGTGCGGACCTTTGGAAACTAGATGCAATCATCACCATCATCATATCATCGTAAGGTCGTCACTCATAAGACTGGTTCGACACGCATCTCCATTCTTTCCTATCCTGATCTAAACTTCGCATTTCCCTAAAACTAGAACAACCGACATCCTTAACTATTTGCGAACAGTAATCTAACCTAGGTCTACCTCTACCCCTCCTAACTCCTGTTTCTGCCTTTAATATGTCTCTGACTAGACCTTCATGCCTGAGATGTCCTACCAACCTTTCTCGCCTATTTTTTATTGACTTCCATAGAATCCTCTGTTCTCCTATTCTTTCTAATACCTCTTCATTTCTAACCTTTTCTACCCACGTTATCCTCATCATTCGCCTGTAACACCACATTTCGAAGGCTTCTAACCTTTTCTTTTCCGCCGCGCCCACTGTCTATGTATCGCACCCGTACAACACCGCGCTCCAAACATACACCTTTAACAACCGTTTTCGAATTTCTAAATTAACCATTCGCGAGCACAGAAGTAATCAGATGCAATGAAGGGCAAAACAAATTAAGACAATCACAATAATTTACTGTTGGATGTCGGTCCTGTGCCTGAATTGGCAACGTATGTGTCCCCGAATAGTTTACTGCAATAAAAACTCTGCAGTTACCTATGCATCGACGGAAAATGTAAACATTGCCGATTATCGAAAATCTAAGATAAGCATAAACAGTTTAGTACTAGAAATAATGGTTAGACTAAATAAATTAAACCTGTACTTGATTTTCTTGTTTTATAACGCCCTATCACCTCCTGTTACACCCTGCATACTAGATACTTATAAATATCAATCGTTTATATTTCATACTATTGAAACAAAGTATTCATCAAATTCATAATTTATAGTTCCGATCGTACCATATTTTATTAAACTCCTAAAGGCTAGTTAACAAAATTACTTCTGTAAATAATAATAAAAATTAATGAAAGGAACGAATTTGTGTGACAGAATATTTAATCAGCTACATATGTCCTGTGAAGTTTTTTACGACTTTAAAGGCAAATACGATCCCAATAAATTGCTTTCGAACCACCTATAAACTCTGCAGGATGTAAAGAAGCTGATTTCGACAATAAAGATATCATTTTTCCGTGCTCTAAACAGGCCCAATTAAGCGGTTTTATTTATATCTTAAGAGCGTCATTTATATGAATACAAGTTTTACATTTGTCACAAAACAAAAATTACGACACCTAGAGGCGCATTTGTTTTAACGACATGACAGATCCACATTAATACAGTGTGTTCAAACTTGTAAAAATTTTAGGAACGAATTATTTATTGGTGTCACAATTTCATGATTAAAATATTTTATCAGCGAACAATAATATTGGAAAATAATGTAATTAAATCCTTCCAATATCGTGATTTCAAAATTCAAAATTTAAAAATTAAATTGTGTACGGGAATTTTTGAAGTAATATCTCGAAATTTTGTTTAAAAATTTTTAAAAAAATGAACCCATACTAATGGTATACTTCTTTTGTTTCAGTGTTCCTGATATTCATTCATGAACCCAGGCAACTTGTTAAGGACAAAGTCATGCCACCGTAAAAGATGAAACCACGAAAAGAAAGAAAAGAGCATTTAAGAGGGCTCCATAGGCGTCGATTCCAGATGAAGAATAAGGGAAGAAACGTGAGAGAAATAAAATCCAAAGGACCAACTCTTCACAAAGGAGTACTCTATTCGCACAGTATTACATTAAAGAATATAACTGTCATGAACGGTAAGATATTTGAAAATGAATACTTTAAAAATGTTACAATTAAAAAAGTCAATATTATAAAATAATGAGTAGAATTATATATCAGTTTCTATATAAATTAATCAAGGGAGNTCTTAGACATTTTGTTTATATTAATGTATTGTTATTTGAAATACGGGGAGTCCCATAAATATCACCCAGCAATTTAAATTTTAAAGCTGGTAAATTGTTTTCGAGTAACTTGAACTTTTATCAAATTTTTGAAAAATTCTTATTTTTTTTTGTATAACATTCTTAAACAATTTTACTATAATTCATGCTTTATAGTTTAGAATTTATGAGTAGCTACTGCGTTTTTCCTTAATTGTATATTTTAAAAATATTTCTTTACTCTTTTTTGATATCAATCAGCCTCAAAAAAAAAATACGCTCAAAGAGAGTGTCAAACATGATAATAATAGATTCCAATTTCTCTTGAGAAAGTATCAGTACCTGAAGTTCTAATGAAGCATTTCCTAGATATTTATAACTTATCTTCAATATGCAACTTTTAAACAACCTTTCAGAAATGCTAAAAGCAAATCAGCAGAGTCAGTGCGAAACTGCCCTTTCCAGCAATGCTGCTGGAAAATTTTCCTTTAAAATTGCTAATATAAATTATTTATATGTATATTTTGTCTTCAAGTAATCAGAGTCAGTGATAACGTAAAAGGGGGACTAAATATTTATATTTTTGCCTTAACAGACATTTATTTTATTCATTAATGAATGGTATGTTGTGTATCTGCTTTACAAATTTCCCATTTTAATATCACCACCAACATATCCCTTTAAAATTTTGATTATTATTAATTAAATGTGATAGTGATAGAGAGACCAACAAATGAGAGAATGGGAAGTTAATTTTGACCCTAGCAATGGTATCTCTGAATTTGTTATGATTTTCACATATATAAACTTTGGAATGTCACATTCTGCAACTAATTCAGGTGAGAATAATTAATAATAATTGTAGACTATTAATCAGTTACCAATTTGGTCCCAGAACATTATTCACAGGGTGGCGAGCATATCTTACTTTCATCGACGTTTACTAATGGACATGCCTTAGCGGTCAGAATTGTGGTACAACAAAAGAAAGAGATGGAACGATGTTAACATCGACGTTTACTAATGGACATGCCTTAGCGGTCAGAATTGTGGTACAACAAAAGAAAGAGATGGAATGCAATTTCGGACAATATCCATCTTTCTCACGAGAGTGCGTAAGCGTGTCATCAAAGAGATAGCACTAGTCCGAAACCATACGCCATCTCCCTCACTTTTCGAGCCAAGAAATTGTTACAACGACATACGGCTAAGGCAGGTCCATTAATACATGTCTATGGTTACTTTATATTATAACGTCATATTGTCCGTTAGGGAGTAGGTAATTTTCTAAAACGGTCTGCTTGACGTGTATAGCGCCACTACATGTGATGATTCTATCAGACTCAAAGAGAACATCGACTTAAAATTTTGCAGAAACACTTTCTTTTATAAGAACAGACGTTAAGGGATTTTTATTTTATTTTTAAATTTAAATCTCAACAGTGATGGTGCATAATTTAAACTGAAAAAATAATTTATGTTCAGTTGATACTTTTTTTTCTATCTCTGTTCTATGGTTTTCCCCTTTACATTTGATCTATGTCCACTACTTTAATTGACGAACCATAGATATAATTATTATAAGCATCTATGAATATTATTCTTGTGTGACTCATGCATTATACTTTTATTCTTGAAACAGATGTCACACCACATCGCCATTTTAAATGTAACAATTTTACAATTTTTTTGCTTTTCTGTTAGTGTTTTAATTGTATTTCGTTATTTCTTTACTTAATACAATAGCTAATTTGTTATTTTTTATTTCTACAGATTGGAGACAGATGAGAGAGGAGAATGAGGCTCATTTTGATGCATTCATCTCCTATGATGTTTTAACTTTTCATCGTGGAGACTTATAGGTAATTACGTAAGCATATATGCTTATATATCACATTATTATTTTTTTGTAATTGCTCACAGCATCAATTAAATTGACAAAATTGTTAAAAGTATATCTTGAAACAGACGCCACGTCACCATTTAAAAATTTTACTATTTTAATTAACGTTTCATTTATTTAATACGAGTGTTAAATTCTTTTTTTTTTATCTATTTTCCGTATATATATTTAGACTTTCATTTGAGAGGCGGAAGAAAAGTGAAATATTTAAAATTTCTGCGTAACAGATGTCTATTTTGCTTATTAATGATAGTACATTGTGTATCTATTTTAGCAGACATCTTTGAAATATTTTTAATTAAAATTAGNTAAGGGATTTTTATTTTATTTTTAAATTTAAATCTCAACAGTGATGGTGCATAATTTAAACTGAAAAAATAATTTATGTTCAGTTGATACTTTTTTTTCTATCTCTGTTCTATGGTTTTCCCCTTTACATTTGATCTATGTCCACAACTTTAATTGACGAACCATAGATATAATTATTATAAGCATCTATGAATATTATTCTTGTGTGACTCATGCATTATACTTTTATTCTTGAAACAGATGTCACACCACATCGCCATTTTAAATGTAACAATTTTACAATTTTTTTGCTTTTCTGTTAGTGTTTTTATTGTATTTCGTTATTTCTTTACTTAATGCAATAGCTAATTTGTTATTTTTTATTTCTACAGATTGGAGACAGATGAGAGAGGAGAATGAGGCTCATTTTGATGCATTCATCTCCTATGATGTTTTAACTTTTCATCGTGGAGACTTATAGGTAATTACGTAAGCATATATGCTTATATATCACATTATTATTTTTTTGTAATTGCTCACAGCATCAATTAAATTGACAAAATTGTTAAAAGTATATCTTGAAACAGACGCCACGTCACCATTTAAAAATTTTACTATTTTAATTAACGTTTCATTTATTTAATAGGAGTGTTAAATTCTTTTTTTTTTATCTATTTTCCGTATATATATTTAGACTTTCATTTGAGAGGCGGAAGAAAAGTGAAATATTTAAAATTTCTGCGTAACAGATGTCTATTTTGCTTATTAATGATGGTAAATTGTGTATCTATTTTAGCAGACATCTTTGAAATATTTTTAATTAAAATTAGTTAATAATTGTTTTTGTCCGTTTCTACAGATTGGCTAACAAATTTGGGAAGTTAATTTTGACCCTAGCAATGGTATCTCTGAATTTGTTATGATTTTCACATATATAAACTTTGGAATGTCACATTCTGCAACTAATTCAGGTGAGAATAATTAATAATAATTGTAGACTATTAATCAGTTACCAATTTGGTCCCAGAACATTATTCACAGGGTGGCGAGCATATCTTACTTTCATCGACGTTTACTAATGGACATGCCTTAGCGGTCAGAATTGTGGTACAACAAAAGAAAGAGATGGAATGCAATTTCGGACAATATCCATCTTTCTCACGAGAGTGCGTAAGCGTGTCATCAAAGAGATAGCACTAGTCCGAAACCATACGCCATCTCCCTCACTTTTCGAGCCAAGAAATTGTTACAACGACATACGGCTAAGGCAGGTCCATTAATACATGTCTATGGTTACTTTATATTATAACGTCATATTGTCCGTTAGGGAGTAGGTAATTTTCTAAAACGGTCTGCTTGACGTGTATAGCGCCACTACATGTGATGATTCTATCAGACTCAAAGAGAACATCGACTTAAAATTTTGCAGAAACACTTTCTTTTATAAGAACAGACGTTAAGGGATTTTTATTTTATTTTTAAATTTAAATCTCAACAGTGATGGTGCATAATTTAAACTGAAAAAATAATTTATGTTCAGTTGATACTTTTTTTTCTATCTCTGTTCTATGGTTTTCCCCTTTACATTTGATCTATGTCCACTACTTTAATTGANTAAATTGATTATATCTGAATACTTTTTCATAAGATTTTATTTTACAGAAACATTAGAAGAACTACGGATAAAATTAAATTATGAAATTATGGAGCATTGGTTGTATTAGTCCTCACTTGCCCCGGAAAGTAGCTGAACCCATGGTCCTAATGAAAGCATGAAAGTGCCTTTTTTCCATTGGGAATGACGACAGTGTGCTCAAAAAAGGATTCATGACAATGAACTGGTATGTAACATTATCAATTAAAAATAATAAATGATATCTTCAGATAACTTCAATTTCTTAGACATTTGTAACTTGCTTCAATAGACAACTTTTGAACAACGTTTTAGAAATGGCAGAAGTAGAATTAATGTGGAACAGATTTTTCCATGAGTGTGCATGTTACTGCTTTACTTGATTTAAAAATGATAATTAATTACTATTTCTTGCCTGTTTCTATATAGATTGTCCCACAAATCAGAAGGAATTGCAAAGTATTTTGGTGCTACTAAAACAACCGATGCTTTAGATGTCTTCATCTTGCAACATTATGCAGTTAATTTTGAACTTGCGAGGAGTAGACAACTGGAAATTAATTTGGAAACCACTGAAACACACATTGTTTACAGTGGTATCTCTCCAGGATTTGGCTAGCTCATCACACTTGTAGATTTTAGGACCTACTTTCTGCAGTTAATTAAGGTGAGAATACATGACTTCATTAATCTGTTAACAATTGTCTATTTAAACAGTATAAATTGAGGTTATTGTGCATTTATATCTCTTGACGGTTTTTATTTTCCACAGAATAAAAATTGCATTAATTATTGATCTATCTATGGAGTTTCTTTTTAATCTTTTTCTATTGTTTGCATCGTAAATTGACGTCGTGTTATTTGACATTTATCTATGCCGTGATCTATGGTTGTGATGTAAAATGGCGTGTTAATAACGCTTGTTATTTTGTAATTCAGCTATTTTTACTTGCTTTTTGATACGTTTTTATTTGTGTTCCTTAATTATAAGTGTAATTAATATGTTTTTGTCCATTTCTGCAGGTTATACAATAAATGGGGGAGAATTAATATTCAGTTTGGTTATATTGAAACAGCCAATGTCTACATGGGTGTGGTCTTTCGTGGATTATATTCTTGATTCGCTGTTTCGTCTTCGCCTTGTAACATCATGCAGTTAATTTTCAACCCATGAGTGAGAGCAACTGGATATTTATTTGAATTCCACTGAAATAACAAATTCTCTGCTACAGTATTTCTCCTGGAGTTGAATAACTTTTTACACCTATAAACTTTGGAATGTTACATTCTGCAATTAATTAAGGTGAGAATACTTGATATAATTA